GGATTATATAATTTACATATTCCTATTACACATTTGTGTATCATTTACATAAATCCTGATACATTTTTAAAGATGAGTATTTTTTGTATAAGAACTAAAGTCTTTTGGACAGCTCAGAGATGGAGAATTAAAAAGCACAATAATATTTGGTCATGTAATTAGCACCTGTCAGGAACATCTCACATCTTAATCCACATATATCTCATATCATGGCCAGTTACAAAGACAGCTGCATGAACCCAAGAGGGAAAAAATATATATAGCTACCCTAATGAACTCCTGTCAGATACAGCCCACATGCACCCCAAAATACAACTTACATCACAAATTTGGGTCTCTGCACACCCTTAAAAGTCATACAATTTCTCATATACACTCTTGTGCTTTGTTTATCCAGTAGGTGAGTTTTTCTTAGAATCTTTCCAAACACAGCAATTGACTTAATTGTCCTGAGTTACATATGAATAGAAATAGTTCAAATATTTGCCACACAAAGAAATAATTGGTACTATTTCTTGCTTGCTGATATTTTTATTCTGATGATTGAATATATGTAACAAACTTGATCATGGAGAGGATGCAATCATTTTCTTCTACTTAGAAGGCCTATTTCATCAAAAACATTGCCTACAAATTTTGAAATTAGAACAAAAGGTTAAGGCTATTCCTTTAAAAGACACTCTTTTGGGGTTAAACATAAAAAATGTAAAACTATGAGATATAATTTTCCTAATGCACTGGAAAGAATCCTCTTTGGCGTCCTTAAAAATAGCCATATAAATTATTCAGGATTTACATCTCCCATTCTACTTTCAAAACACAAATAAAGTTTTGTATTTTTATTTGTAACTAGGACTTACATGATTCAAAAAGCATGCTTTTTAAGTTGAGGAGAGTAAGTAAAAATTAACTGCTCCAAATTCAAAAGGTAGCAGTTAGCTAAATCTGTACTATCCTGCTTTGTAAGAACAAGTTCACATGAAACTACATGAATCTAATTATTATTCTAGTTTTGTATTGGCCCAAAATCAGATTTTATTTCTGTATATATATTTTACATAGAATAATCTATGCTAATAAAGTAACTGAATTATCTTGATTTAAAAATTGATTAGCTACATATATATCCCTAAATATATATATATATTTATCTGAAACAGAATTTGGATATCATGTGAATGCAGGTTAACGAACATTCTTTTTAATTAACCATTAAGCCTGATATACTTAACCATTAAGCCTTTATACTATGAATATAACCAAATACATATCAGCATCATTAATTTTTAAGAATTCAGCTACTCATATTTTCTCCACTTTCCAACAACATAATCACTATCACTCCTATATCGTATGCTTGAAACTGAAAACTATAACTGCTTTAAAGGATGCATTTTCATACTATCGACCATAAATGATATTAGTTTTCAAGCATCCTTTTCATGTAGCAAAGAATACTACTAAATACTCTCAACTTGCCTACAATACTATCAAAACGTGAACTATGGTAAATAGTTGTATTTCAGGCAGTGTGCTAATTTTATATTTTAGGAATCTTCAGAATTCATAGAAACTCTGTTCAAAAATCAGTATTCTTCACCCTCCTATTGAGGAGTTCCGTCTCAGAAGTGACACAGATGCCACAATCCCCATATGTTTCAACAGTTAAACTACGTACATTATCAGGTCAAGCTATATATTTAAAGTTAAACTTGACAGTCTGCACTTCATTCATAGCAACGAAGCAGACAGGAACACAGACTAAATGCTTTTCGTTGTAATATTCTGTAGATAGTGAATTTTTCTTTTAACATGCTTAGACAGATATTCAGTAATAACAACTTTGTTATTATTCCAACCTAAATACTGCAGCAAATAACTGAAACCTGATTATTACAAAACACCATTTGTAATAATACAATAACGGTATTTAATTATTGTAGTAATTATAATACAAGCCCAAAATACTTTTTTCAAAATAAATCACAACCTTAAAAACAAAAATCAATAGGCTAAAACATGGTTGACTTTGTAAGGGAAGTGGCACAAAATAGAGCAAAGTCAGTGGCAAAAACACACTGGTTAAAAGCACGCCTACGCTGTATGGTTGACGAATATGGTCAACTGGTTTAATTTGCAATCCATGCAATTATTTGAAAGAAAATCTCATTTAGTGAAGCAAAGCTTACATGCGCAAGAATAAACTATAACCCTACAATTTTTTGCAATCTTTGTAGAAATGTTCTTCCAAGGAGCCATAAATTAATCGGAACTGAATAAATGGCTCTAATAAGAGTGAACAGTATCTCATTTTCTGCATAAACATGCCAGATTCCACCCAGTCTTTCTAAATTAGGAACATCACAACTGTATAAACAAGAAGAAATGATGGCTGGTAAAATTAAAAACAGTCCAGTGACATCACTTTCCAGAACATTTGAAACTGAGAAATATCTCCCACTGAAATCAGCTGTGCTCCCTTCCAAATTCAGTAAGCTAAAAGTGCAAACTTTTAATGATCTGATATCCTTTATAACAAATTTACACAAAAATGTACATCAAATAATATGAAAATAATGTACAGGTTTTTTTTTTTTTTTTTTTTTAAAAGCTATGTTCTTCATACCTAATTCTCAGATCCCAATCACACTTCCAACCTAACCAATACGAACGATGGCCTTGACCGTTAACCTAAGGCAGTGGTTCTCAACCTGTGGGTCGAGACCCCATTTGGGGTCGATCGACCATTTCATGGGGGTCGCCAAGCAAGGCTGTCCGCCATTTTTTTTGTCCGCCATTTTTTCCCCCTTTTCCGGCGGGTGCCTTACCTCCCTTGGGCTGGGCCAGCTGGTGGTCGGCCTGCTCCGTCTCTGCCGCTTGCCAGCTACGCCTCGGCCAGCGCAGGGGGCGGAACCACGCATGCGCGGCGCTCCCGGGCAGAGAAAGTCCTTGACTTATGACCGGTTGGGTAGTCCTCGACTTACGACCAGTTTAGTCCTCGACTTACGACCGGTTTAGTCCTCGACTTACGACCGGTTGGGGTCGCGGCATTAAAAAGGTTGAGAACCACTGACCTAAGGTATCCCTTCATATTTTTTAAAACAAACGATTCAGAAATATATTGGAAAAAACAGCTTTAACTAAAAAAAAAAAAAAAAAAAAAGAGGCTGCCAGATCCGAATTATTCCGGCCCAATTTGTATTCCGCCTTTCACTTGCACCCAAGGGATGCAAAATCAGAAACGACCTCATCCAAAAACATCTGACCCGCCTCTCGCAGCAGGCACCGTGAGATTTAGGACGGAACCACTTTGCAAGGAGTTTTTTTAATCGCAGGAAAAGGAAGGGGGGGGGGGATAAAAAAAAAGAAGCAAAGCTGCAGCGCGTGCTCCCAAGATAATTCAGTCTTAATAAGGGCAAAACTAAAAGGGGAGAGCTTCCCCCCCCCTCCCATCCTAGCATTTCTCTCCCACACAATCCCAGGTGAGGAGGAGGAGGAGGATATCGCGGAGATGTTAACTCTTCCCCCTCTGCCACGGGGTTTACCTCCTGAGGCGCGGACTGGCGGAGCAAAGCCACCCCGCTGCCCTTTTCCTTCCCCCTTCCCGGGCGCCGCGACTCACCTGCTCTCTGCGCACCCGGCCTACTCCTCCCCGCCGTCGCTTCCGCCGCCGCCGCCGCCCTGGGCGGAGAGGGGGGGAGAGGGCAAGGGGGGAGTCCGTCCTCCCGGGCCTAAACGTCGAGCCACACAGAGAGGAAAAGGAGGAGCGCGACTCGCTCCGAGAGCGGAGACCATCCGACGGCGGCCGCCCGCTACTCCTGTTCGCCGCAGAGGCCAACCGGAGGGGCGGGGGGGGGCAGGGAGAAGAGCCGGCCCAAACTGCGGCGCCTGCGCCTGCGCGACCGACTCTCTCTTCCTCTTCTACTTCCGGTCCATGGCGAAGCGCCGGAAGCTGCGGCGGAGGCTTCTGACGTACCGAGACAATCAATAAAGGAGAATGTTTGTAGCTTCAGGGTTGACGTGAATTGCCTTTAGCGCTCTCCGAGCTGGCTTGTTTTCGTGCAGACGTTTCAATATCCAAGCTAGTTAACGTCGTTATGATTAGCACTGATGATGTTACCTAGTTTGGGTAAGGAAACGTCTGCAAGAAAACAAGCCAGCTCAGAGAGCGTCAAGGAACCCTCTCAGTACAAGGTCAATGTCAAACGTGAAGGCATTTGAAAGTACGCCATGGCGGTGTTTCTGGCCTAACAGTTGGCCGAATTTCATCTCCTCCTGGTTCTTTAGTACTAAAAAGTCGCCCGGAGGACTTTTCAAAAGTACATAGTTCCCCAGTCTAACATTTCCATATTTTAACACTTCAAAAGTCTCCATTTATAAACTATTTTCTACTCCAGAGATCAGCCTGCATTTAACTGCGTTGCAGTGTCATGGCTTGTCACCATAAAGGTGACCCAGACCGTGTCACATCTTCGGTCGCGGCCATTGAAAGTCGTAGCCAGGCCTGAATCTTTTTGTCTACTTTGTGGAATATAAAAAGCCCTCATGCTTCTCCGTGCATTAATCGCAGCAAGAGAAAAAGAAGCTCCCTCCACGCGGCGGAACTGGCCCACAAAAGATAACATTCTTGCATTTTCCCTTATTCTCCCTTCGGATGTTGAAGCAATGGGCATTCTTTACGATTCTTCTCTATGGGCGCCAAAGGGGTGCCGCTCTAGCTGTCTATCTCAATGGTTAAAAGCGCTGCACGGTTTGATTTGGGGAAAAAAATCACGCTCATTGTCGGAAGAGACGCGCTTTTGCAAGCTACACACGGAGCGCGCGAGCCCCCTGGAGTTCGCGAGGCGTTTGCACACCTGGGCAATCCCTTCTTTCCCCCGCCAAAAGCGCTGGGCCCTGGCAGGAGGGGCGGGGCAGCTGCCGAACACTGGAGGGACTACATTACCCACCCTGCACTTGTGCTCGCATTCACGTGACCCTCCCGGCTCCTTGTTGGATCCTTACTAGCCAGATGGAAAATGGCAGGACTGAGCCCCGGGGATCGCTGGGCCGAAGGTACCGGTAACGCTCCGCGCCGATGACGCGGCCAGAGCCGGGGGAAACAGCCGGATTGGGGACTTAAATCTTAATTAGAGGAGGGTTGGTGATCCAAGAGCTCAGGTTATCGGAGAAGAGAGCCTTGTGATAACATCACAGACTGACCGACCTACTATGGCTCCGGCTTTCAATCAGAAGGATAGGGGGACACTTTTCAAATGAGAAATGCAAGTGGGGAGAATGGAATTGATAGTGCTTTAGGAAGGCAGTGCTTCTCTTGACAGATGAATTGTATAAAAAAATATTGAATTTGCAAAGTTTGTGAGTTTGCGCAAAAAGCTATGAATGTCTTCCTCTTGTCTGCGTGGTCTTTGCAATTTTTCTTAGTTCAGATATAGGTGTGGGTGTGTTTATTTACCAATGAAGGACAATCGTTCACGCATGTGGATTGCGTCAATTTTGTGCTGCTATTTAAAGATAAATCGCCTTTGAAGTGCATTTTTCTTGCAGCAGATAAACATAGCTGCATGTTGATAGGTATGTGTCAGATGGCGGAAGATTGGAGAGGACCAAGATAATGCAGCTGGGTTGAAAACGGGAAGTGTTGCTTGGATGAGATTTGAGAATGGAAGTTACCTTTAGTTCTGGGGAACCAAGGAAAGATTGTAAAATGCAAAACAATAATGGAAGGGAAGAAAAGGAAATGAAGTTTTGAACTTTGGGGGGATTTTACCTACTGTGAATTTGGGCCAAGGGCATATACCCAAAGAGTTGCAGTTCATGCAACTGCATAAAACTTTAAGGAAAAACTTTCATATAATATAGTACACTGGCTGAACATACAGGGTGACTAGAAATAGAGCATAAAAATAAGATTGTATGCATTTTTAATCCACATTACTAATTAAAATCTTTGGTTGGCATGCATTGCTGTTGGACCATATATTAGAAATGAATTGAAATTTACTTTGAGTTCTGTACCATAGGAAGAACTTAGGTTTCCAACAAAATTCACACACTGACAGATGTGTGTGAACTCATTCCAAAGATCCAAGTCTTATGTGATGGTTCCTTGGGAACTGCTGAATTGCCATCCTTTCATATTATCTTTTCAAAATGTATTTTTTAAAATATTCTTCATAGTAAGCTTTCTTGAAAAAAAGAAAAAACATTATTGCAGATTTTTAGAATTTAAGCAAAAGAAGAGGTGGAGAAATGGGTGTATCATGATTTTAAGGGACTTCCAGTTTTCTTATCCATGTTTGTATGTTGTAAGTTAACAGCTCACAATAAAATAGAAAATATATATCGCTGTGCAGGAATATTTTGAAGTATGTCATTTGTGATCCACTTTGGTAAATATACATACATAGGAAGGCTGTCATTGTTTCAGCATTAATTGATGAGCTGAGAAGAAATCCATGTCCATCGGAGGAACTAAGAAACAATTTTGATTGCTGTGGCTGTAGTGACTGTATGAGAATGAAAAAGGAACGTATGTGTGACAATGGAAGAAGCCAGTCAACATTTGGGGAAGGCAGTATGACCTACACCAAGGAACAGTTACTTGGAGTTCAAAGGTAACTCAATAGGAACTTGCCTAACTAGAATATAGTCATACTTGTTAGGCCTGCAGCCTGTTTAATTAATAAATTTATAAAACTAATCTTTATATTCCCCAATCTGGTGCCCACCAAACAGTTTGAGCTGTGTATCTTATTATCTAGGAATTGTTTAATTAAATAAATCTAGGAATTATGAAAATTGTGGAGCAAGATATTTGGAGAGCTCCTGATTTGGGAAGTTCAATTCACTCTGAGCATGTTAGCTTGTATACACAAAATTTCAGTTAAACCAATTCCATTGCATTATTGACTCCAGATAATGGCTTAGCAAAGAAATTAAACTCTCTGTTTCATTTGGAATGGAGCCATCCATATCTTATATATTGTACAGCAGTTATGCCGGTTTTGAATAATATGGGATAGCATACAATACTAAGAGGATCCCCACATATTCTCAGAAGAATAGTAGTTGCCCAGTTCTGAACATGAGATTACAATTGACTTAGTGTGTTGCTTGACTACAGAACTAGATCTTGGTTAGCAAAAGTTGCTAGATGATCCAGGAAGCATAAGACAAAGGGTTCTCACTGAGGCATCTGTAGATCAATTATGAAAGCAGTGTTGTGACCCAATCTCTGCCCCTTACATCTGTGACAATGCATGTCAAAAAGCACTGGAATTGGCATCACAAAAATGAAATACAGGTTTTGTCTTGTGAAACCCTTCTCTCTATGGGTGCTCACATTTTAAATGTTCGAAGTGTAACTTTAACTTGGACTGCACTTGATGCCCATGAGCAGCTGAAAACCTTTCTGTCAATGAAGCAGATCTGCAATGTATAAAAAAAATTAGAAAAGCACCTTACTAGGTTGGAAGGTATGCTTCAGTATTAATAAGAATCTGTAAGCTGTATTTGGGGAAAAGTTAAAAAATTAAAAGAACTGTGCTTCTTTTATAGAATAAAGGAGAGTAAGAATTACTATGAAATTCTAGGCGTAGGAAGAGATGCAAAAGATGAAGAACTAAAGAAAGCTTACCGAAAACTTGCCCTTAAATTTCATCCTGACAAGAATTGTGCTCCAGGAGCAACGGATGCATTCAAAGGTAGGTGAAACTTTGAAGATTTTACAATGTTGTGTTGGCTAACAGGAAGAGATTTTTAGAATATGTTCCTACATACAGTTGTAGTATTGCATAATTCTAAGTGAAACATTAAGAAAGATTCTAACATTGCCAACTCTTAGGAAATAGCTGTTACTTGCATATTCCTCACGTTCACTTCTTTGTAAGTATTTGACATCAGTGACTGATTTAATTTGTCAGATTAGTCTGAATTATAATCTAGATCATATGATGATTTGAAATTCCATATTTGTGTTGCCATTGGATACAAAAGGTGACTATGTGAGGGCAGGCCATGCGTAATTAAGAGAACAGTAAGGCAAGCACTGTATTGGGATCTCATTGCAAGGAAAATGTGTATTAAGTACAATAATAGTTACCACCAGGAAGGATGTGAAATGAATGCAATCTGTCTCATTTGAAAGTTATTCCAGTATGGGAGATGATTTTTTTTTAACAATATTTTATTGAGTTTATATACATAAGGAAAAAATAGGAACAATATGGGTATGGTAAGGAAAGGGGATGGGGGGAAGGGAATAGGGGATTTAGGATAAAATAAGGATAGGTACAATCTCATATTTTAACAAACAAGCTACTGTCCGGATCATAATAATGAGTAAATATCATACTCAACCATTTTTAAAATAAGCTTAACTATAGCCATATTACAAACAATTAAAAAACAAATAAGTTCATCTATTAAATAAACACAAATAATAAAATCTCAAAAAAAATCCTGACTATCAACATTAACAAATAAAAATCACTAAATCACTAAAAATAACAATGTCATCAACCTATTAATTAGAACTCGGTTAAAAATCAATCATCTATTCTGAAATATTAAGTCCTTTTCAGGTTCTAACGTGTCTCTAACCATTGATAAAAATTTTCCCAAGTTATAAAATAAACTGAGTCATCTTTTTCTTTCATCTCCAATGTTAATCTATCCATTTCTGCACACTCTAAGATTTTAGTAATTATAGTCTGGTCAGATGGTAGATTCTAATTTTTCCAAAATTGGGTAAATACTATCCTCGCGGCTGTTAAAACATGCAGTATCAAATAGTCATTCTCTTTACCATAATTAGGTCTTAATATTCCTAACAAAAACAATTCCGGTTTAAATTCTATCTGTATTTTCATCATCTTTTCCAACCATCTATGAATCTTAGACCAGTATTTCTTAGCATTGGGGCATAACCACCAGGCATGGTAATAAGTGCCTGGCTGTTGTTTACATTTCCAGGAAGTATCCGAAACATTTTTAAACATTTTTACTAAGCGAACTGGTGTCATATACCATCTGTAAAACATCTTGTATAAGTTTTCTTTATATGCTGCCGCTTTTGTAAGCTTAATATTTTTATCCCAAAGTTTTTGCCAATCTTCCAAATCTATAGAATATCCGAAGTTGTTTGCCCATACTATCATTGTTTCTTTCACTTGTTCTTCTTCCATCTTCCAGTTTAAAAGAAATTTTAATAAACTGCTAATAAACCAGGGAGATGGCTTGCATATAGATTAAAAAAAGAAAGAGAAAAAAGATTAATAAGTAAGCTACGGGATTCAGAGGGTGACCTACACTGCCATAATGATTTAATGAAAAAAATTACGAAGGTTTATTACGAGACACTTTATAAGGCGGAGATGGTTTCTAAAGAGGCAATCCAGGCTTATTTAAAAGAAGCAAACCTCCCAAAGGTTCCTGAGAATATGCGCCAGAGGTTAAACGAGAATATTTCAATGATGGAGATTACAGAGGCAATAAAAAAGCAAAAGAAAGATAAAACACCAGGACCTGATGGACTTCCTGCCGAATTTTATGTAGCGTTACAAGATATTATAACTCCTACTTTGAAAGACTTATGTAATGAAGTTTTCATACAGACAAAAATACTGGACTCATGGACTGAAGCTAAAGAAGATATTGATCATACACTAATTAAAAATTATAGACCAATATCGCTACTAAATGTGGATTATAAAATCTTTGCTGCAATAATGGCAGAAAGAATGAAAAACTTTTTGACTGAATTTATACACCCAGACCAAAATGGTTTCCTACCAAAAAGACAGATAAAGAACAACTTGAGGATTATTTTAAATGTTTTGGAATACTATGAAATTCATCCAGGGAGCCAGATGGCACTTATATTTCTTGATGCACAAAAAGCCTTTGATAACTTAAATTGGCAATTTATGTTTCAACAACTTCAAGAAATGGACTTTGGTGAAAATTTTAACAAAGCAATTCAAGCAATTTATAAGAATCAAACAGCAAGAATATTTTTAAATGGAGATTATAAGGATGGATTTGAGATCAAAAAAGGCACTAGACAGGGATGTCCACTGTCTCCCCTGTTATTTATTCTTACATTAGAGGTACTGGCAAGAAATATTAGACAAGATACAGAAATTAAAGGTTTGGAGATTAAAGACCAGAAATATAAACTACAGGCCTTTGCGGATGACTTGGTTTTTATTTTAGAGGAACCATTGGAAACAGCTGATAAACTCTTGCAGAAAATTGAGAAATTTGGAGAAGTGGCTGGTCTAGAAAATAAATAGGGAAAAGACTAAAGTATTAACAAAAAACCTAACAGATAAACAGAAAATTCAACTTGCTAAAATGACAAACCTTCAAATAGTTAAAAAAGTCAAATATTTGGGCATTTATTTAACTGCAAAATATACCACATTAAAAGAAGATAATTATAAGAGATTAATGAAACAAATAAAAATAGACCTGGAAAGATGGGAAAATCTTCAATTATCACTCTTAGGAAGAATAGTGACGGTTAAGATGAACATTTTACCAAAGCTAATTTTTTTATTCCAAACAGTTCCTATTAAACTTACTAAGAATTTTTTTGATGATCTAAATGCAATGATTTTAAGATTTATATGGCAAAGAAAGAAAGCTAGAATCAAATGTAAATTGTTACAAGAATCTAAGGATAGAGGGGGCTTTGGACTTCCAGATTGGAGACTTTATTATCAAGCAGCTATTCTGCTTTGGCTTAAAGAATGGATTGTATTGAGAAATAAAATATTGCTTTATTTAGAGGGACATGATCTTCAATTAGGTTGGCATGCTTTTATATGGTATGAGAAAACTAAAGCACATAAATACTTTCAAAACCATGCGATAAGAAACATACTACTTTCAGAATGGGAGAAAATCAAACATAAAATATATATGAAAATACCTGAGTGGCTTTCAACAATGGAAGCATTTGCTTATCCAAATCTGATTAACTATGATAAGCTGGTTAGTTATAAAGATATTTTGGACAAAGAGGGAACACTTAAGGACAGGCAAACTCTTCAACAACAAGGTATTGACCTGACGTGGTGGTCCTATTTGCAAATTCAAACAAGATACGAAAAAGATATAAAATCAACAGGATTTTATAAAGAACAGACTCCACTAGATAAAATTTTGTTAAAAGCAGATGATAATTTAATTAAGAAACTCTATAAATTTCTTTTAAACTGGAAGATGGAAGTAGATGATATTTTTTTTAATGCAATTGGCTTGTAAAGCCTCTGGTCCATTCCCAATTGTGTTTGTTCAGTATTGTGCTGAAAACCAATTTTCCTTCAGAAAGAGTTAATTTCCTATTTTCTAACATCAGACTGGAAATAGTACTTGGATATTAATATCAGTAGGCCTTGCCTATAGAGGAGTTCATGTCATGCTAGGATACAATCTTCATGAGAACCAGAGAGGGCCATATCTAAGACACTTTCTCAAATTACATTTCTGTCCAAGACTCAGATTTCTTTTATCTAATCATTGAGTTGGTTATATTCCTCCTGTTCTTCCAGGTTATTTCTTCTACCATTACAGTTTCCCAATATTCAAATAATAGAATACACATATTAGACATTTCTGCTGGATATGGAACAAAAAAGATGTTTGGTTGGAATTACTTCTATAGTATGGTTATGTATTTCATCAGACTTTGTTTCTTTTTTTCATTGGTTTTCTTTATTTTCTCTTCCACTCTACAGCAATCGGCACAGCTTTTGCAGTTTTGAGCAACCCTGAAAAGAGATCACAATATGATCAGTTTGGAGATAAGGAAGATACTTTTTATACTAATGTGCCCAACCACTATAACTATTACAGAGAATTTGAAGCGGATATAACACCGGAAGAAATATTTAATATGTTTTTCGGAGGGAATTTCCCAACAGGTATCTTTTTTTTTTTAAGCTGTGCTTTAAGGTGCAACGAAAGCTGCTGTTCAGACATCTGCAAAAGCCCTTGCTTCATGTGGTCTTTAATTGCTAATGAAGCTCCATATACGGTTTTGATGATTATCTGAAGTTTCCAAAGAACTTCAGAAACTAGTTAGCTACATTTTCTTAAAAAGTGCTGCATATATGGCCACTCAATAAGATATGATGCTATTTCAACTAGACCAGGGGTAGGCAACCTTGGCTCTTTTATGACTCGTGGACTTCAACTCCCAGAATTCCTGAGCCAACATGGCTCAGCTTGGAAACCACTCCCTTTCCCCTCAGCATGGCTGGCTCAGGAATTCTGGGAGTTGAAGTCCACGAGTCATAAAAGAGCCAAGGTTGCCTAACCCTGAACTAGACCATTCATAAAACAGCTTTTCTTAATTGGCAATAGGCTGTTCCTATTCTTAATAGTACTGTATTGGGTTTACAGTTAAAATTCTCATTTTCCCCAACTGGTATTAAAGAATTGTGGAATGTAATCAATACATTTGCAGGCATATATTTGTTTGTTTGTTAAATTTCTATGGCGCCCATCTTAGTCAATTACTCTGGATGGCTTACATATGTTTGAGAAGGCTGTTCTGTTTTATATGAATGCTATTAAACACTCATACTGCAGCTCTGAGAAATCTAGTTAATTTATGACAAAATCAAACAGTGTAGGAGACCTATAAAACAATATGGCCGTTACCGGTTTACTCTTTCAATTTTGGCATTATGCAGATGCTATTACATCAGTTGTGATAATCTCGACCCTTTGTGGTATCACCAGAAACAGCAAAAATCATGCAATTCTACAGTGGCACTGTATTCCTTTTTTTGCTTAGTAAGGCAAGTACTACATGTGCATGTTTAATCCCAAATTCCACATGTAGAATTCTGCTCATTAGATGTTCCCACTGCTAAAACATGCAGCCCCTTGAAAATCCACTCAGGGCAATGAGAACAGCAGAGGAAGTGTCTTCTTTTTAATGAACTGAAAGAGCTCCTGCATTTATTAAAACAAGCCAAGTTTGAAATTAGCTTTTTAAAAATGAATTGAAATCTTAGTTTCTTATGGCACAAGCAAAACATCGTATGGGATAAAAACTGCACCTTCATTCTACTGCTATCTCAACAGGAAATATACATATGTTTTCCAATTCTTCAATGGACCCTCCATGTTATCCACAGCGGAACAGACATGAGAGGACATGGACCCAGGATGAAGAGGAGGAAGAAATTAGACCACAGGTAGGTGGAGAAGAGAAGAAGGCTCACCATCAGTCAACTGCAAAAGGCAGCTTTACTTGGAACAGTTTGCATCCTGCAATGATATATTTAATATTATTAAATAACAATATCTGTCAACGCTGCTAACATTGGATGTATCCCAGATTTTTGGGAATGATTCCACACTTGGACAAAAATGCCAAATCTAATCTAAACATCTGGCTGACTATACAACCAGCCACAATAAAACTTGTACACTGTCCAACTCTTAATTACTCTGTAGATACTATTTCATTTCATCTTTTTTATCATTGTCAAAAACCTAGAAATCAAGACTGACCCCAGCAAATTAACTTGCATCCATAAACAAAACAAGCCTTCCAAAATAAGAAACTATGAGAGATTTTGGCATAAGATTTAATATTAATTTTTATATACTGCTCAAAAAAATAAAGGGAACACATCCTATAGGATTTCTTATAGGATGTGTTCCCTTTATTTTTTTGAGCAGTATATTACATTTTTGCCAATACTTACTTTTGTTCTAAATTAAAATATAACTCCCTATCTGGGATTATTGAGTTACCATTGTGGTTTCCATTTTTGCCATATATTTCTTATTTGCTTTACTAACCATAGTGTTTTCATTTTCAGAATACATACTCAGCATTTATCCAGTTACTACCAGTCTTTATTATAATAGCTGTATCAATAGTAACTCAGCTGATGGCTAGTAATCCACCCTACAGCCTCTTCTTTAAATCGTAAGTCTAGATCAGTTTCTTTGTGTTGTTGGGAGAATAGAGGTTACTTTTTGACACTAACTTTCCAACACCAGGTTTAATCGGTGCTCAAAGAGGCCTCTACTTTGTTACATATAAATAGTTAATTTGAAAAGCTTTTTATCTTGGAAAAGGCATACCCATAGCTATACATTCCAAGCTGAAAACTTTTTTGAAGAGAGAACTTAACTTCCTGCAAATTATTTGAAGGATGGGACATTAAACCTATGAACTACTTTGACTTATTGCTCTATTGAAAGCAATATTGTTTTCATTAAAAATGTGAGCATTTTTAATTATCTGAATACATTGCCTTCGTAGAAATCCATTTTCATATTAAACATTTTGATGCCAAAGAATGGATAGGAAATAATTAAACCGTCTCCTGTGGGTTTTGTACCTGCTAATTTTAAATAAAAACTAATTGGGAAAAATGCCAGTCTTACTTTATAAATAGCCACTTTAAGTAGAATGCTAAAAAAAGTGTAAAAGCAAGATTATATGCCATTGCCATATTATGGCAACCTAGAAATTTTGGGAGTTGTAATCTTGATATATTATAAGGACCCTGGTTTGTGGAAGGTTGCTTTATTGCATGTGAAATATGGTTAGTTATTATAGGCTACATTTAAAGCAGATAAAAAAGCACTAAATAGAGGCTGGAATTCAAATATTTACTGTTCTATAATATTAACATATTTAAATGGTACAGGTCCAGAAAACCTGTAGAGATGCTTCCTTCCATGTGGTCCTGGAGTCTTCCTTCCCTGTACAGATAGCTGTTTTAAGGAGTTGATTATTTTTCTTTCTGGCTATTTAACGCTTGATGCATCATTCCTGATCACTTTACAGGACACAGCTGTTTTAAAATAAACCAGAAAGAGGTGTTTTATAGCTGGCACTACTTGGAAGACAGGATATTGGGCCTGGTCATAATCAGCCACCCTTTGTCTCTACTAGGGCATGTCAATGATTCCCTTGATTGCTTTCAGAGAGCAGGAAATGTTAAACAGAAATATTAATTGGAAAAAAGTGATATTTCTGGTTTGCAAAGAAGACATTAATCTATTTCCTTCTTATTTCATACCACAGGTCTCTAGGGCACACTGTTATTAGAGAAACACAAAATCTGCAGGTGCCTTATTATGTGGATAAAAACTTTGAAAATAATTATCATGGAGAAGAACTTGAAGAACTTGAAAAACATATTGAGAAAGATTATATTGATTATGTCCAAACTAGTTGTAGGAAAGAAAAACAACAAAGTAAGTTTTTGTTCTTTCCCAAGCATCCTGCATTGTTTCCAAATTTAGGTTAAAAAAAACTCAGTAAGAATCAGATATAACAAGCTCAGTTGCCAAGAAAACTATTGTTTAGAAGTGATATATAACAAAAATACAAAAATACAGATAGTTCATTCTGCTGTTGCCTACTGACAACATGAAATCTATGTATTTGATGTTAAGGATTTGTCTAAATATACTTGTTTATGGTTCTGATACCTCAACTGTATCAAAAGATTTCGCTAATCATTCGGATTTACAGCCCTCATGGATGCTATTCTGCCAGTTGAATCTAAGAATTATATTCATGCCTAACTTTCTGTGTGTAAGTAGCTTGTCATTTTGACCAAGCCAACTTTGAAATTAATATAAAATGTTAAATATTATTATTTTTCCTCCAAAGCATCACTGAAATATATATTTCATCTTTCAGAATCAGAGTTATCTAATTTGGCCAAGCTATACCGAGATGAGCGACTGAAGCAGAAAGCCGAATCCATAAAACTTGAGAACTGTGAAAAGCTCTCCAACCTTATAGGGATTCAAAGGAGTCGCCAGTTGGCAGAGGCATGAGAGAACAACGCTGCCTGTTCTGTTGGCAGAAATGTCCATTAGACTCTCTTTTATAATGAAGAGGAAAGGCATAGAGAGAGAAAAGCATCCCACACGAACCACACACACAATCATTATATTCGTGGAAACTGTATATGGACTGAGACATAGAAGCAACACTTGCTGTAGTGTACACAGTACATTTCGTTTCAGGGTCCAGTAGTTTTTCAGTGTTCGTGATTCTTCGTTTACCTTCATTTTGTTACACTCTTCATGTGATACTTTGCCACTGTTTAAGTGCCAAGTAGGTGCTTTGCAGGATCATAGCCATCATGCTTAACTGAGCCTATGGTTTCTCAACTTTTACCTTGCAAGACATCATAGAAGAGAAAAAGATGGTGTTTCATTTATGTATGTATAGATACATGCACAGTGCGAATAGATATATATATATGCTGTACAAACGTGCAGTTCAGTTTCAAGAGAACTTTACAGACCAGTGTCTTTAAGGATATACTGATGTTGCAATACATAAAGCACTTGGAAAACCTAAAAGTGCTGCATGGAGATTCATCATCTAAAAACAATATGAAAAAATGGGGACAGAAGGCAAAGCAGGAACTGGAGCAATAATTCCTTATCTGGCCAATGGATGAGGATGGATTGGTATTCCTGTTGCCAGATGAGATTGTACACAAAGAAAGAAAACAGTCTTAGGTCTCTAGAGCATGATGTAATGTACTCTGAGAAGCCAAACCAGGTGGCCTCACAGATGTCAGAATGTGAGCTAGGTTCCAACCTTTGGCCTTGAGGAAAGTTCTAGGCAGACAAATGGAATTTATTTCTACGTAAGTTATACAGCATTGTGACCTAAGTTACATTTCTGTAAGCCTAAACTTTGCTATCAGAGCAACTTAGTCTGGTTCTTTCCAGTTGTGTTAAGATCGGAACACATCATTTGTTTCCCAAACTGTGAATGTGTATGGAGGTGCCATCTAAGGAATATGTTATCATAGTATGGTGCTGTCATCGTGTGTACTGAATGTTTTGTTTGGAAGGGCCTGCTAAGATCCAGTACACAAATTTTGGTGAATTTGTTTGCAAAGGCCTTTTCACTTAACAACATAAGCAAAATGGTTGTAGCTACAGCTACTTTCAAATGAGGGTTGCAGCTGAAGCTTTGTGTTCCCTCAATGAATATTGCCTGATTACAAAGTCGGGAGATAAAATCCATACCTTTTGTAGGGTCTGTTGGCAGGAAACATTTGGCATAACTTTATTCTACAAATATTAATGGGTAGCCTTTTCCATTGGGCTATGATAGAACAGTAGCTACAGTGTTTGCTTCTTGTTCCTCTTGTAAAACTTCTGAACACAGGGTCGTAAATAATTCCCAACCAAAAGAAAATGTGTAATAATCCTGTGAAATATGCTAGCTTTGAAAAATAGCATTATGTCAGGCAATCATGAGATTAAAGATTTTAATTATTAGATGAAAGGAGATAAATGTGGCCTAATCCTATGCTACATTGTAACATGATGAATAATCATAATTACTAAGTATGCTTAAAGAATTTGCTCTATCACTTTGAAATCCATTGTTTATCTTTACTGTTCCTCTCACAATTCACTTGACCCCACACATCCCAGTGTTGCATCCTTGCTGAAAGGTGCAGGCTTATACATAGAAATATTCTTAAGACACCTTTCAGGGCTAAATAGTTCTCATAGATGATATCCGATATTAAAATTTATTTTGAAAGACTTCCTCAACTGTGTTTTACAAACATTTATATTGCAAATTGCAGGAAAACCAAACTTCTGGATTTTGATAGCCAAAATTAACTCTGTATTTTGTCATCAGCCCATTTGGCAATAGGTCAATCTATAGCAGATTTTTGCATAAACTGGTTCAGCCTTTGTGAAATAGTTTCTTTTTAAATGTTCCTCAGATATGCATGAGTTCTGAAAAAATTCTCACTTATTTTCACCTCAATTGTTTGTTTGTTTATTTATTTATTTATTTATTTAAATGCTTAAGTTATTGGTGATCTTTATTTCTCTGGATGTACATACAGTATATATTGGCAAAATGGTGATTACATGATAGCATTGAATCATTACTGTATAGTTCACTTTTTTCAGAAAATATTTAGATGTGTAACATTCCAGAGGATTAATAAATAAGATGCTTTCCTTATATAAAGAAAAACCCTTTGTCAGAGCAATTTGTGAGTTTGAAGTAAAGAGTTCTCCATTCATTTGACCACACTCTTCAATAATTTCAGTGCATCTTGCTGTTGAAGATTTCACCCTTGGATTGAGAAACAAAATTTTTATGTGTTTATGGTGTGTATGTTTTATACACAAATCATTAAATGTAATGCTTTAAAAAGAAACCTAGTGGCTGTATTGTATGAAATTTTAAAAAATGAAATAAAAATATGAATATTAAAAACTCCCAGATTTGTTGCATTTTCGATGGGGGGGGGGCTGGATTACTGCAATCAAATCCTTACAAATGCTGATTTGTGAGTGATAAAACAGACGGTGAAATCCAGAAAAAAAGATCAAAATCATTGGCTATCTCTAACGGCAAAACAGCACCATCAAGCGGATACTATTAGAAGCCAAAATAAAGCGTTTATTCCGAATCCAAAAGATAATTCTGTTTGCCAGAAACTAGGCAACTGCACTTTCTCAAAAGCAACGTGGCTAGTTTACGGTTGCGTTTCAGTGCAACTGTTTTAGGACTGCCTAATAAAGCCATGCTTCCTCACGTGGGCCCAGGTTGTGAAGAGCAGAAAGGTGCGGCGTTCCTGGATGTTGATCAAAGAATTTTTGGAGGAGAAGGAGGAGGTAAAGCCGGAGAAAGAAATAGCAGTCGAGACCAGAAATTGAAATAGAGGTTTCCCAGCAAGGAAAGAAACAACCCGATTTTGAATTTGCCCTTTTTTTTTTTTTTTGCTTTCCAAATCCCGACGTAGCATCAAGATTGCAACGCGTTGTGCGAACCGAGGCACTCGATTAATTAGAAAGAATTCGACCTAGAGGGCCGTCCTCCGGCCGCCAGGCAGACAGGCAGGCAGGCAAGCGCCACGGGAACACAAACCGCGACAGCGCTCGACTAAACGCAAATAGCAGGGCAAATTGCTTGTATATTCGCTTACCTAAGGTAAGCTAAGCCAAGCGGTATACACTACACCAGGGGTAGGCAACCTCGGCTCTTTTATGACTCATGGACTTCAACTCCCAGAATTCCTGTGCCAGCCATGCTGACTCAGGAATTATGGGAGTTGAAGTCCAGAGTCATAAAAGAGCCGGGGTTGCCTATCCCTGTACTATACTTTGCCCAAATTCGGCCCCTCCCTTTAGGACCCCGAAGAGTTCCATTTTCGAACGGAGAGGAGGAGTTTCGTGCCTTCAGCCAATAGCAGCTCCCTCGTGAGTGTTCAAAAGGAGGAGTCGCATCTCTCCCGGTTATTTGGGAGAGTGGAGCGTCTCCGAGGAGTATCTGTAGGGACAGCTCTGAGACTGAGGCGCTTAGAATGGCCGGAGGAGGAACCCGGCACTCAATGGCGTCGTCCGCGGAAGTCCAACGGTTGCGAGATCTGATCGAGATCCACGAGGCTTCACGGGACAAACTGAGACGAGAGGTTGGGCGGCAGTTTGGGGGGGGGGCGCAATGCGGAGAGCTACTCTTCGTGTTTTACAATACAATACAATAGAATACAAACTTTATTGTCACTTTAAATGTACGTTAATCAGCGTACATTAACACGAAATTTCGTTGCATACAGCTCTCAAAAGGGTCAGTCACCACCTCCAATGTACACTACATAAATATGACAAAAAATTGTATATACCAACATATGCTCAATAGTAATAACTGTGAGAGGGACCTCGGAGTCCTAGTGGACAATCACCTAAATATGAGCCAGCAGTGTGTTGCAGCCACCAAAAAGGCCAACACAGTGCTAGGCTACATTAACAGAGGGATAGAATCAAGATCAAGTGAAGTGTTAATACCACTTTACAATGCCTTGGTAAGGCCACACTTGGAATACTGTATCCAGTTTTGGTCATCGCAATGTAAAAAAGATGTTGAGACTCTAGAAAGAGTACAGAGAAGAGCAACAAAGATGATTAGGGGACTGGAGAATTAAGCATATAAGGAAAGGTTGATAGAATTGGGTATGTCTAGTTTAACGAAGAGAAGGACGAGGGAGGACATGATAGCAGTGTTCCAATATCTCAGGGGCTGCCACAAAGAAGAGGGAGTCAAGCTGTTTTCCAGGGTGCCTGAAGGCAGGACAAGAAGCAACGGGTGGAAACTAAGCAAGGAGAGAAGCAACCTAGAACTAAGAAACTTCCTGACGGAACAATTAACCAGTGGAACAACCTGCCTCCAGAAGTGGTGAATGCCTCCAACACTGGAGGTTTTTAAGAAGAGACTGGACAGCCATTTGTCCGAAATGGTATAGGGTTTTCTGCCTGAGCAGGGGGTTGGACTAGATGACCTCCAAGGTCCCTTCCAACTTTACTATTATTATTATTATATACTCTGTGACACAGAGAAACAACAGAGTCTCGTTCAGATGTACACGTGTATATGCGAGAAAAACGAATCTTGCGAGTTTCCCAGATGGATGGTATAGGGAACAAAGCTGTTACAGAATCTGGTAGTCCTGCTGGAACTACTTCAAAACCTCCTCTCAGAGGGGAGCAACAGAAAATGTAAAGTGGGCGGGTGGGGTCTCTAACAATGCTTCAAGCATTGTGTTGGGCAGCTTCCCTCAATCTCTCACGCTTCCAGATGCGTTGGACTGTGAGAAAGCTGAATTCAGAAGTTCGGGACTTTTAATCCCTGCATATTTGAAAATATTGGCCAAGCAGCAGTCTGGAAGTCGCTTGGGTCTGGCCAGGAAAGGGGCAGGAAGCCCTGTAACTACCTGACACAGTAGCACTATACACAGATGTTGATTTGTTTTTGCTGAGAGGAGAGCATCATCTCAAACTTTCCCA